CCCCGCATAAAATCCACATAATAAAAGTAAAAAGCTCATGCATGAACTCGCTTCCTTCAGCTGAAGAGTAGCTGTATCCAATAACTGGTGTAAGCGATGTGTAATTACCAGTCAGTCTTGTAACTGCAGTGCATGCTCTGTATCAATTGACTCTGGTCTGAAAAGACTGAATTGTCTGTGCAAAATTAATACCTGTTTTTTCAGGATAGCATGGGTTTTTTGTACACCTCTATTTAGGGCAGGAGGGGAGGGATTAAACCATTGGTTTCTAATCCTACTGAATAGTATGTTATTAATACCAGTATTGTTTTGTAAGTATAGTTTAGCATGGACGAGTTTTAGTATTTTTACAGTTTGGGGAAGAGAGGTAGGATTCAATGAACATAGAATGAATCCTCTTCCTTTCCCCTTTAGAATATAATTAAAGGTTGAGGGTACTTAGTGACCTTAAACTTCCCCCTGTAACTCAAAGAGGCAAAAGGCAGGAGGGAGGCTGACCAGTTATCCATTACCTTTAACTGTCTTCTTACATAAGAGTGATGGTGTGCAGCAAACCACCTACCTCGCCCAGCGCTACTGCCACGAAGCTACAAGAGAGATCAGTAAGCTACGGCCATCCCCTGAAAGAGAAGCCCTTATTCAGCTGACGGAAATGGTACTCATGCGAGACAAGTGAGAGAACTCCTTCCCCTCGTTCTGGCAGCTACTTACCAGACTGTGCCTAAATTTACTTCAAAAGTTACTTGCTTCCAACACAGGCTACCAAAAATTATTTTTTTAAAAAACTTTTTTCTTTTTTTTTTTGGACCTTCTACTTTTTTTTTTAAAAAACAAGTTTAAAGTGTTTTATTGTGGGAAGCCGTACAGTTCAGAGAAAATCAAGTTGTGCTGTACAATTGTTTTAGTGGGGGCTATTAATTGTGGGGAGTGGGAAAGATGTTTACATGTTGATGCACAAAGGTCACAATGAGAATAAATATAAATCAGTGTACGAGACTGAAGTTGCTCCAGATTTCACTTGTTCACACTAATAAACAGAACATGCATGTTACTATCTGGTAAACTCCTGTGAAGAGAGATGGTTTGAATGCTTTCCTGGCTGTTAAAACTACAGAAGTACCTGGAATTGTATATGTGAAAATTCGTTTATTATAAAAGACTATATGTAGACTTTAAGTGGTTATATACATAAATGAGAAGTTTTCCAATTCATAATGAAATACAGGTATGTTATTGGTTGCTACTTGCTAGCAGAATTTGAGATTGCTACAGTTAGGAAAATTAAAAGCTCAGTATTTCTAACTCATGCTGAAAATGGCTGACTCAGCAGCCAGTCAAAGCTTCAACTCCATCACCTTCCATCACTCATTTATAAAGTATATTTAATACCCTCCTAGAAGTCTGCTTTGAAGTCCCGGACACATTCCTCTTGCAGTAATTACCCAGTACTACCACATTCCTTTTCAGGATATTTAAGCCACAGAATTAGCATAACAGGGAAGTACATCAGCTCTAACTATCTCTGCCTGTGATCCCTTAACACAGTGGCTCAGTGTATTGCATTCCCTGTAAAATGAATCCACAGCCTGTCATGTTTGTTCCCCCCTTGTCCTATCTTGAGGACTGCCTGCTGTCTCTGCTCAGCTAGGCACATCACCAAGCCAGAGTTTCCACTGAGAAATGTCAGTTACAGACAGTGTTCCACTTACTGCATCTAGGTAAGTAGATTCAATCAAGAATCCTTGCTAAAATTAATTTTGGAAGAAAAGAACTTTTAAGAGTTTGTATAAATGTGTAATTCAGGTTTCATATCTAATTTATTTTCCCTCTGTCAGTGATAAAGTCACATTACAAACATTTGCTTTTTAGTACATTGCCTGGGATAACACAGCCATGATTTCGCTACGAAAGCATTCCAAAATTCTTTGCCAAGCCAACCAACAAAGTAATGGACAAGACCTTTGGTTCACTTATATATTTATGAATGGAAAAAGTCATAATGTAAATTTACTCATTAAAAAAACTTGGGTACAAATTACACATACATAAGACCACCCATTTTTTGATTCACATGGACACCTTAGACCCAAACAACTCATTGTAATAGACTTTAGTGAGAATACTCCAGGTAAAGATTACAACAATTGGAAGCATCTTGGATTTTTAAAAAAGTATATTTCAATACATAAGTTTGTATGCATGCTTTAAACAAATATAGTTCAAGAATGAGCAAAGAGTCTAAACAAAAGTATTATGACCAGCACAAACATTAAACTTCTCATCCAGATTTTAATATGTTAGTCTAACATAGTGTTAGTTACCATGCTGTACTGAAAAATGTAATGGCACAATCTGAATCATGGTTCATTAAATATTATACCCTACTTCCCCAGAATATTTAGGCTGGTCATAAAATTAACAATGCGTAAGTAAATAAGTATAACCAGTTATAGACAGTTGCTTGTTTTACAAATTGCCATCAGGTAAGACAGACTGTCTCCAGAGACTTAAGAGAGCTGGACATTCAATCATACCATTAAAACAGTGTGGTCTGAAGAAATGGGCACATTTTTTTTTTAAAGTATATTAAGACAATTCTGTTAGCTTGTAGTTACCCCTTGTAAATAATCATGGTATGACTGAATACAAGACCCAACTTTGAAAAGCAAAGGATTTTAATCGGCATAGTGCATGATTGACTCAACATAATTCCCAGGAAACAAGCCAGTTACTCGATTGCAAACTCCTTCATACCAGCCGTCATCATTCTTCTTTATCACATAAATGATTGCACCCTCCATAAACGACAGCTCATCATCTTTGTCCTTTGTATAGTCATATATAGCAACAACTGTGGATTGAACAGGGACACGTTTAGCATTTTATTAATAGCACCAGTGTTAACATTTTTCAAAGTACAATTATTTTTTAGAAGACTAGTTTGCTATCCTGGGATTTTCCATAATGAATTCACATGCTTTCCCTGTTGCCAATGAAGTCCAGAAAATGAAATTTCACTCTTCTTGCAACATTAGCTACCAGTAAGAAGTGGGTGCTAACCACACTCAACACTTAGTTAAACTATTGACAGGGAGATAGCGGAGCGTATGGACTCTTAAAAGCTGCACCATGAAATAACTGGCTCCGTGAGTGTGGCAGTCATTTCCGGTCAGATTACCTCAAAAGCATTACAGATCCCTGTATAGGATTCTCTCAATTAGAGAAAATAAATAAACAAATAAATAAAACATTCCGTAGAAATGGACCAACAGAAAAAAAAAAGTCTACACTATGGCCCCTGCAGCTACATAGCATGTACTTCAGTGTATGATCTTGTAAACAGCTGCTTAAGCCACTGTACAGAAATGGATGGTCTTTGCCACAGAGCTTCTATGTGATAAGTTTTGGCATTACTTTTCAAGGAGTTGCAAGGAGTGCAAGTATAAAAGTTACTGTAGGAAAAAGTAGAAGCAAATTTACAGCAACATCAGCTATTTTTCAGTACCTGCTTGGTGAATACATTATTCTTACCAACCTCCAACTCATTGTGTGCAATTAACAAAGCAGAAATCTCCCTAAGGAAAGTAAATGTTGCCACCAATAATACTGGAATTAAAAACTACCACTACAAATACATAAACTTTGCACATGACAGCCTTACCCTTCAAAAGAGTTAACACCAATTTATGCAATCGCTCAGTTTTATGAATTCCAAGAACCTACTGTTTTACATATGTATATTCTCAGAAGTCTGATGTCTTAATACCTAGGAAATAATGATGCGGTGTGTAAGTTATTTTCATCCTATGGGCATGTCCTGCACACTGTCCAGCTAGGAGTGAAGATGGAACACAGCAGTTCTGCCAAGACAGGTATCACGGGTACCCTACCCCATTTCATATGCATGACAATACCAGCCAGATCACGAGAAAACTTGCAACATTGCTGTTGACAAAATGGTCGTTGTCAGAACACAGACAACTCTACAGGCAGGAAGGAAATCAGCATCTCAGTTATTCACAGGAAGACATTTACTATATGAGTTCATATATAAGCACAGTTTATAGTCTGCTGATCTAGAGTCACTGATAAGTCTCCAAGGAAGTCTCACTACATTTTGTCATTGAAAGTCTAATGATCTATCTAGTTTGATGGGATAAATATAGCTTGGACTTCCTGGCCTTTTTTGCAACCCTATTTCTAGATGATTGCCCAGCAATCCTGAGATAGCTGCAGACACAGTCCAGCAGCTCAGCAAAGATGAAAGCCATCTGATTTACATCTGCTTCTCATAACGAAGGATTTTATTTTTTTTATCCATTCTAGAATGCTTGAAGGTATTTTATAATACTTCTTTGGAAGGATTGTATTTTATCACGTTAGGTATTAGCCACAGACAAACTAAGAAAAGAATGGTTAGAGTTCCGCCTTAGCAGGGATGATGAATATTTTCATCAGATCCAAGCTAAGTCTTTCATTCCCTTCAGATGCCATTAATCCTCCGATACTGCAGTAACACAGAGCTGCAGCACTTCTCTTACCTTTCTCTATATAGTTTTTAGGTGCCCAAGCAGGATCTCCATCTGCATAGGGATCGCTGTACTGCACAACAGCAGCCTCCTCATCCTCATAATCCACAGGGGGTGGGGGTGGAGGAGGAGGAGAGTCATCAAACATCGGCATCTCATCGGGAGGCGGTGGCGGGGGAGGAGTCGGGCTATCAGCAACTAGAAATGTTTGGAGATTGGTTTTTTTTCTTAAATCAAAATAGGGTGGAGATGCAAACAAACCTGAGGCTGTACACTGTAAATAAAAGGGGTGGGGGGACAACACACATAGCATGCACTATAATATCATGCACTGATTAGAAACAGAGGCTTTGTATTAACATCTACAACATACAACTACATTTGTTATTAGTGGTCAAATCTAGGTATAAATGCTACTAGAGTCAAAGCACATGCTGCAGGGCATAAGCTGAACACCAGCAGAGAGGAAAGCTTCCTGCTCCGACGTCCACGCGCTGAGGGGCTAGCTGCAGCGGTTAGCTATGGGAGGACTCCGAGTGGCACCCTCTGAGCCAGGCAGCAACAGGCCTCTGGACTGGACCAGCAGCTTGATGATTTTTTAATAAATCCTTTGTCTATAACAATCACTTTCATTTATTTCTGAACACTGCTTCCTTGGATTCCTTCTCTCTCAGAGCTAGCGTTAAGGGGACAAAAAGATCTAGTGTGGAGCATAAAAAGGGGAAGAGACTAGTGTTTAAGATTTAACCAGGTAAGAGAAACCCAAGTAATCCTTCTGCAGAAGAAAAGCTTTGTACAGGTCCTTATCTTTCAGACTAGCTTCTGTGTGTGCACACATCCAGGATTCAATTAATAAATGGAAAACTACACCAGGCAGCTGCTGCTCTTGGGGAAAAAGTGCTCAAGGAATTAAGTGTATAATCCAAAATGTCAAATCCCTGCCCTGAGATTCTCCAATCAGCACAATTACAAGTTGGTTTGGGAAAGGGAAAAAGAGAAAGGCATTATGGTACAAATCACTCTTAAAATCAGTTCATCAAATTAGTTTTCAGTAACATTCACAGCAGCTGGCAGCAAAGGAGGGGGGGGAGAGAAAGAGAGAGCATGCTCAGATGCAAGTCATGTCTCCTATTGCTTGGGAACTGTGGTCCACTCTACACACAGACCTAGGTGTAAGCACTATGAAGCCAGAAGTTAACTGAAAAGAAGCTACTGTCACTAAACTCCATTATATCGCAATACAGATTTAATTACAAGAGATTTGGGAGTCTGCACATTGAAAACACAGGCTGAAAGCTACTGGTCTAGGAAGGGTTTGATTGGAAGGAGCCATCAGGTGGGGCATGTGCTCTGAGCCTGTAGCTCCAGCACCCGGCACTAATTTTGAGGAGAAAGCAAAGCTGCAGGGCAAGGGAAGAAGAACAGTGAGTGAAGCTTTAGCTACTGCTAGTTACAATGGCACTGGAGATTAGAAACAGGTTTCTGTTTGCTTTAAAGCCCTTTGCTTTCGCCTGGCCACTACACCAGTAGTGATTAACTTTTGCTCTTCAGCCACAAGCCCCTGACACGGGGCTTAAGTATAGCTCCCATGGGGTCACACCAGCTGCGCTGGTACAGGGGAAGCCAAACATCCTGCTGTGAGGGGGCGGAAGCCAGCAGGAGCTGGTGGGGCAGAGCAGCCTCAGCCCTGGCACCCAGCCCGCTCTCTACCCCTTGAAGGGCTAATGCTATTCTTCACCTGCAAGCCCAGCTCCTCTACAGCTTGACCAGCTGAGCTGCATAGCCCACAGCTCTCTCCCATCAGTAAGACTGGCTGCCACTGTATCAGTGATTCCTCTCCCATACAGAAGCCCATTTATATCAGTTGGAGAGAGACTAACAAAGTCTTTGGCTGAGTGAACACTACGTCTCGCCCGTGTTACTGAATAGCACTCACAGGCAGGCTTCATTAATCCACCACGAACACATGACAACACTGTTTATGAATGGATTCGTTTTGTGCAGTAGTTTCGGCACATCTTTCACAAAATGTATTTCTTCCCTTGATTTCTGTTTGCAGCCAGGAAAAAACAGCAGCATTGAAACAACAATCCTTTGAGATCTTGAGAAATGCTTACCTTAAGAAATGCAAAAAGTTGTATTTATTCAACAATGAAGTTGCTTATTTGAAAAGAAGAAAAAAGGGCAGGAAATGCAAGTGTGAAAGCACCAACACATACCCTAACTGAGATGTAGCGCAGAAACTGCATACCTTATGGGAAACATGTAAAGCAATTCAACTTCACATTTAAACAAGGGGAGAGAATGGAACAGAAAATTAGACAAGTGCCACCCCATGGAAGTATCCCCCAACTCTTGGATTTAACCTAGACTTTTCTAGTTCAGACTTAAACCAAGCAGACTCTAGAATAGAATTACTTTTCCCATGGGAGGAAAAAAAGGACAAACAGAAAACCACACTAAATGAGGAAGGGTAAAAGGACCAGTATTTATACAGCTCCAAACTGAGACTTGTGTGTATATACATTCCTGTTCTCTAAATGGGGACCAGCAGACTGCTTTTGAAAGGACCGGGTGTGACAATACAGCAATTTACATCCAATCGGTTGTCCCTGGGCACTGGACTCACTCGAAAACCTCTCTGAAGGAGAAACTCACAGTTTGGGCGCAGGGCGCAGGAAAAAATAGGCACTAGATAGTTTCTAAGCCCTCTGTCCTTGTCCTCTGAAAGAAGTCCACAGAGCAGAGGGTGTTGCTTTCCAAATCCACAGATCTTCACGATAAGGAAAAGACAAGCCTATCCACGTGTCTCCCTAACTCCACTCCCCCCGTAGACTTCTTGCAGAAAATGAGGCAGATGGAAGTCTAGCACACAATGCCAAAACTCAACAACAGCCTCTACAGCCAGTTTCGCTGAGCGTATGCGCAGACCGCGACACGCACCCCTGCCTCCAAAATGAGGCAGCAGCAGCTCAAAGCCATACTTGTTATAAAATTTTCAAACCCAAGGGACTGTTAAAAGAAAAAAAAATAAAACAAACGATTCCTACAATCAGATTTCAAGCTTCAGCTATTTTTGCTGCAATCTCATTCACAAGTCAGCTTGCATTTTGTTGTTGCACACACAAATAAGTCTGTCCCTTTCACCTCTGCTCTCCCAAGGGCTGTGTAATCTCCAGGAGGACAATACTTGGAACAATTCTGAAGCAGGTGTCACTTTTCTCAAGTTTATCTGCAAGTGAAGACATTCTGTAACCTTCATCTTCAGTAGGTTTACCTCTACACTTAGAATTTTGGAAAGGTTTGTCAACACAATTTTGTGTCATACTATTCTACATCAACATGATCCTTACTATTTACCTAACACAACACCAAAATACCTTATTTTTGAATAAGAACCAGAGAGATGCCTCCTATCTCTAGGGTAACACTCGGAACATGACCACTTAAAAGCTCTAATGGGAAGCTGAACAGCAGCACTAGTCAGATCTGGAGGGCCCTAACAATAGTAGCCTCCGAGATCCTAGCAGACTTTGCTATGGCTCCCAAACACTTTAAAAACATTTTATAGTTACTTCATGCCTTATCTACATTGCATTCATTCTGTTGCTTACAGAACTGCAATGTACTCCTACAGCAAAGATGTCCCCATATCAGGAACACCATTTTACACCTGCACTAGCATTTGGGACTATAACACTCACCTGAAATGAATCAAGAAGTAATAGTAAAAGCAGAGTTACCAGTATAAAACACCTTGCAGCACAGATCATACCCAGGGAGCGTATCTCTCCCAAACCCAACAAGCAGAGCTATGCTGCAAGAAGCTCAGTAGGGAAATCTGGCTAGAGAACACAAAGAAATGGAGAATGAAAGGCTGATGAGAGGAGAAATATCTTACAAGCTCCTTTGTAATGGCATTAGATCGTAAGACTGCATATGTTCAATTGACTATACGGCTTTCTGAAAACTACCACAGTATTAGAGTCAATGGTTACACAGTATGTATTTTGACAGTCTACATAAGTCTTTCTAGTAAAACTTATCAATTATCCCTAGTGAAAAAGCCTCAGGCAGGATGATTCAACATGAAATTAATAATTTTAATTAAGATACATTTCTATATTCAAATCAAGCAGATGTCACATATTTCACACTGTATTTCTATAATAAATTTGCAGTACAGAACTTAAATGGGTCAGTAATAATCATGCATATGTTATAAAATATTGAAGAGTGTGCCCTTCAGCTCCAATAGCATATTGACACTAGAATGCAAGATGGTATTAGCTTCTGGAAAAAGAAACAAAATAGAGTCTGACTTGCCAGCCATGCATGCTAGAAGAAAGAAGGCTCTACCCTTTAATGGCTCAGCTTGTCCAAACTTACTGTTTTCCTGCACCCTGGCCACGAAGCCTGTGAGAGGTATCTGTGGAGTCAACTGAGGCATAGGGGGAGGGGGTGGAGCAATAGAAACTGGTGGCAACACACACACCATATCGGGGAAAGTCAAACAGACAAAGGAAAAAAAAAAAAGGAAACAAACAAAAGCAGCCGTCAGTAACGAGGACCACAAAACAAAGTATGTAAAGAACAACAAGAACACACACACGGAAGAACCTTCTTCAAGCTTGTGTTTCCAACAAGGCTGAATTCGTGGTTAGCCAATCGAGGATCAAAAAGCAAAGCATGCCCCTGAATAAAAAGCGGAGCACAGGCTGTGTGTCTGGAAGCTCACAGGGTGCACATGTGAAAGGACTTGCTCTGCTTCACTGGGGGAGCAAACAAAACTGAGCTTTTAGTCATGCTGCCACATAAGGATTACTTCAATTTAGTGGTTATCTTTTAAAAGTACACTACTAGAAGTAGAGGTGATGTTTCGCAGGATTCTGGACTCCTCTAAACTAAGTGTAGAGCACTACATCAAGTGCAGCAAAGCAACACACAGAGCAAAGAAAACTACTTTACAAGGAAACACTGCAACATCAATTCTTAATATTCATACACAGAGCACCTCCCATAATTTTTTTCTGCTGGGACAGGGGGAAGTGGCTTGCCTTTTTATGTTTTTGTTTTACATAGGAAAAGGGACATTGTTGCTTGTTGGTAGGAAAACCAGAGGGGTTTAGAGCAGAATGGAGCTTTATTTTAAATTATTAATTCTTCTGTGGTTAGAGGCACTCAGGAACTTAAGAGGCTGGCAAAGGCTTCAACAGCTACCACTGGCTACACTAGCACACAGCTCCCCAGGATGCACTTGCAAGGCCATCTTCTCTGAAGTATGTAGCTATTTGGTGAGTAATGAGATATGAGGCACATGGCACCAGTGCTCAGAGATGCCGGGCTGACAGCCGAGATGGGCTGACAGCCTCTTCCCTCCACAGGTAGGAAAGCGGCATGGTAGCAGTAGGCCATGCCATTCAAAGTATCAGCTCTGGCAGGACGTCTCCCCATGAAGTGGGGGGAAAGAAAAAAAAAAGAAAAAGAAAAAAACCAACAAGACTGACTCATTTGTTTATACTGTGCCCCTTCTCAGTGGAATTTCTCTTGCACTGAAGCTGAGAAATTCCTGTGAAGGTGCGAATTCAGCAGAGTAATCCAGTTGGAACCAAATTTGAAAGAGGTTCTGTACTTCCATGTAAGCAACAGTTTTAAATAAAGCCATAACTAAGATTAATGTTTGATGAATAAAAATGGAGCATTTAGTTCATTACAAAACCAATAATCAAATAAACTGTATGGGAGAAATGATCAATAAATAAGGGAGAGCAAACAGGTTTCTCACAAAATTGAAGCAAACATCTAAGAATGAAAACAGAGTATTTGTTAGCATGAAAAGTAAAACCTTAAGGAAACATGGGACCTGGATTTAATGTCAAGACAGTAGCATTAAAAAATTTAAAACCCAGCAGTTATAGAAATAGAGGAAAACAGTTTAAAGTTGAAAAATACACCCATCAAAATACTGTTTAAAAAATGTTGACAATCAGTATTTTGAAAACACCAGAGAGGCTAGATTAAGGAAGAACAGCTGCATTTGAGCAAAAAATTGCTTTGGACAAATGTAAATGTTCACAAACAGTGGTGTGCACAGCATTTAAGATAACTGAACTATTTCCAGAAGTAAAGCCCTGTTTATTCAACAGACCACAACTGTTCAAACAGGAAGGAATTTCTGTTGTTATGGTGAATTAATTTGGATGAACAAGAGTGTGGAGGAAAATGAAGAGCCAGTTATGGGTGAGAGAGAGTGGGAGGAAAATCAGGAGGGGAGGTGGTGCATATGACAGGGTGGACACCAAGACAGATACCGTGTCTGCATATAAAAAAGCTTTCTGATAAACATACTACTTCTAAACCATTGAGAAAGCTCTTCACCTCAGTGTCTCCAACATTTTATATGCACTCTTTAACAGTAAGTACACAACAGCAAACACTGGTCCAAAGTGATCTTCGGCCCAAACATTAACATTTCTTTTTTAAAACAAATATTACTTAAGTTTAAAGACTTGGCATGCTGAAGAACACCACCAGAAACCATTAGAGGACTATCACTCCTCTGTGTATCTGGTCAAAATTTATGGAAACAGCAAGGAAGAAGTTTCCTGATAGAAACAGCTTTCTACCAACACTCAAGTAGATCCTTATTTTGCAGATCTTTCTGCAGTGAACCTTGTTGCCCCGTTGGATAGGTGGGCAGGATGCTGCTGACTAAAACCTGCTCAATTGCCCAAGGCATCCATCCCTTCACTCTTCCATCTCCATCTAAACTACTACTAGTGTGCAAGCACAGATGAGGAGTCTGCTAGAAAGAGAGAGACTGAGCTCTTCTTTAACAGCCAAGCTTAAAACTAAAACAAAAGAGAAACTTGGAATCAGGAAAGGATTTAGGACAGAGAGAGACAGGGAGGAACTGTGTAATGGGAGAAGCTTGTTACATGTGTGTGCTCTGACAATACTCTCTTGCTACTATCCCAGTAGAGTAGGGACTATACTACAACTATATTAGGTCTCCTGCAAAAAAAATCTGGTTTTAGTTTATGTTCTCCAAGCACACCTGAAATGCTAAGTATAATGTGCCTATAATTAGATAGGCAATCATAATAATTTCTTGTCATGAGTAACAGCAAACAAGTCAGAGGGGAAAACAGTATAATTGCATATAGTGCAATCACTGTACAACCTCAATATGGTTTTTCTTGTTTGTTTTTCCTTCTATTTTAGGAAAGAAAGCAGTAATTTGATTGATGCTCTTCATAAATGAATTAAAATGCCATGCATGCTTTTACAATCATTTTGCTCAAAACAGTTTGTGATTTCAGAGCTCAGCAGCTTACTTGAATTTTGAGAATAAAGAGGCCCGCCATTAACATGAGGTTGAGCAGAAAATGGGGCAGTCACAGAAGGATTCCGTCTGTATCCACCAGAAGATGCTGAAGAAGTGGTAGAGTTGTGTCGCGAGATTTGCCTGGTCATTGTGCCATACTGGGAACCAGGAGCTGAACCCGGAGCAGCTGAAAAGCATTAGCCAGAGGAACCAAGGAAAAGACTTAAGCAGAGCATTACTTGGGATAGAATGCAGAAAAAAGCCCAGACCACGGGAAATACTTGATTACAGGTCTCCAATACTTTAAGGCCAGTAACAGGACATTAACAAAAAACAAACATCCCCATTATAATCAATAATGAGAAAAAAGACACAGGACATAAACCAACACTCATATAAAGGGCATTTGAGAAATGCTGAGAACTACTTTAAGAGACTGGATTTGACTGGAAAATTGAATCAGCTTCCAACTCCTAAGCACATCTTAATTAATCTACATGTAATACCCTTTATTAAAAAGCACACAGAAAAAAAAAAAAATCCACATTCTGCTCAAAGCAAATGTTTTCCATTGTGAACCAGAACTTGTCTCCAATCTAATATAAAAAGACACTCTTAACAAAACAGTAAAACAAATGTCAAGAGGTTCAGACACTTGGCACATTTATCAATCATATTTGCTAGCTGGGCTTTTATATTGATGGAATTTGCACGAACAAATCAGAATGACTAGTGCCAGCTGACAGAAAGACATGTCACTCATTCTTCAGGATGAACACCCGTTTTTACCTTCCACATGCTTGCTGCACGAACGTCAAGGTTAATAAAACAATTTAAGTTCTTTGGATTAACCTCTGACAGAGAAAAGAATCACACCTTGCAAACTAATGAATCTTACACACTGAGGTCACACGGATCAATGCAATTTTTAAATACAAAAATTGTTTTTCAATAAAATGTTTTGTGCTTTTATATACATACGGATATATCTTATATAAATATATAGATACAAAAAGACACACACACACACTTATATACACAAAGAGTGTGCGATCATAAGTTTGTAGTCCTGTAATGCTATCCAGAGTCACTTTCGCTTACACTTCAGTAAGGGAAAGTGCAAAGGTTATGTGGGTCAAAGCCTCCAAAGCTAGTTTCATAATGCAATCAATGAATTTTGTCATCAACCTGTGATAGGAAAGGGTGAGGTATTTATCCTGCCTGTTTTGAAAAGTACTACTTTTAGATCCCATCCTAACAGCTACATGTAATGTTTGAAGTGATTTTTCAAGAACTGTTTGTTTGTATCCTCAGGTCTTTCAGTTTGTCACCTGCCTGCAGCATTACACAATCAAACTCAAGCCACTGTGACAGACACTTCTGCTTTTCAGTCACCTTAAGCCCACGGGACAGAATATATACATCACCCTACACATCAGGTACCATTTTTAAGCCAGAGTGCAGCTGCTGTGGCTGAGTTTCAGCTGCAGGACTGATACAGCAAAATACCAATATTCAAGCCGATTTTGATTTCTTTTAGATCAGACTAATTGGATCTTAGCTTTATTGGGAACACAGATTTCAAGCAACTGGCAGAATTTTCCCTGTACCTTGTCCATTTACCTTCAGAGGCTTTAACCACAGGAAATTAGTGGAGATTAATTTGTTTTAAAACAAACCAAAAATAATCCCAGAACTGATTTTTATACAAAAATTATGTAGACCCCACTGCAGAAGAAAAAACGCCCTCACTAAGTCCATTAGAAAGAGATGATTATTGATTATGCAGCATGACTGCAATCACTTCAGCATTGACACAAGTCTCACCTATCAGACTGCCCATCGGGAGAGGTGGTGGCAGTGGTGGTGCTGGCAGGGCTCCAGGAGGAGGAGGAACAGAAATGTGTGCTAATAAAATAGTTTATATTCCCAATTAGGCCATATATTAAAAAAAAAATAAAGACCAACTAAGAAAGCATGGGCACTTGGTAGGCTTATGAAATAAATACAGAAATTCAACTTCAATCAACCCATACAAATTCGGGCCCTGATCCTATACCGGGTTCTGTACCTGCAGATTTTTATTCACATTGAGTTTTATGGAATGCCAGACAATTTCATACCTATTTGTACCACTGCAGGATCAGAAACACCTGGGAAAGGAAAACCTACATGTGCGTAAGAAAGTGAAGACCTGTCACCCAAGGAACAGAGATTTAAGAGGTGCAATAGCCAAGTTACACTACACCAAAACTCCACTATTCCCTTGTGCAAGTACATCTTATGTGCTTACAAAATACACAGATAGTAATCAAGTGACTGAGTTGGTTTACTACCAAGATAATAATCCTGCTGGCTTATAATAAAGAAGGATCCTACACATTCTCACCATTCATCATTCTTAAAGACAAGGGAGTATGATTTCAATGCCGAGAGATCCTGCACAGTTCTCTTTTATTGCTATGCTATTTTATACACACTAGTTCTCCTGCCTCTCTCAATGATCTCCATCACAGCTTAGCGAATTTAGACTGTAATCATAGCAGAAACAACACTGGAGGATAAGCCTCAATTCTATTACTAGCATGTTTTTGTAGGTCATCTTCCGCATTTTATTTGAAGTAAAGACTTTTATTTAATTAAAAAAGAACATGTACATACCATCATTGGCAGATGGCAAAGTTAGCAGGCTATTTCAGAAAACAACATTTCCCATCAAACATGTACACAGTTGCTGCTGCTTCTCAGGACATTCAGAAATGCCCAATTGTAGATAGGCATTTAAAAAAACACTCAAGCTTTAAAAGGATACACCCCTCTCCTTCTATTCCCTCCCCACCTTGATTATCTTGCAAAAACATGGCCCGACAAAGGTGTTTTAAGCATTCGCTATTCTGTACATGACTGTTCTGCAGGTATTTTTGGTAAAAAATTAAAGCTTTAGATGTCCCTCAGAACTCATAAGAGATTTCCTGACTAAGACTGTGCTTCAGGACAGTTTCTACCCCATCCCATTCAGTCAAAATCCCTCTGCAAACACAAGCGACTGACATTACAGCCTTAAGTTAACATGGGAAGAGTCATACATACCTGGTCCAATGGTTGGCGGTGAAGGTGTAGGCACGGCAATGGGAATGCCAATACTGCTGCTTCCACTATTCTCTCGACTGCCACTTCCTCCACTACTACCACTATAAAAGAAAAACAGAAGTGTTAGCACAGCATTTCCTAAAAAGACCTATCAACAGCCACACTTCTAGTGCGAACTCTGCTAGCCTAACTCAATTATACACTGTTGAAAAATGCCCTATAAAATGCCTGTATACCTACCTACAATTGCTACAGCTAATCAAGTCTGTATGCATTACACTCCTAATAAATGGAATTAGCTAAGCTGATAAACATCACTATGCATAAAATGTCTAATTAAATGCTTTAAAAAAGGTAAGCAACCATACCAGTTCTAGGCAATGGAGTAAGAGCTGCAGGAATAGTTCAGGGGCCTTGTAATAACTGAAAGTAATAAGATGCGGCTGGAAGAGTCCACGCCTAAACTACAAATAATTATTTAAGATTATTTATGCTGTCAGCTGAAAGAACATTTCCTCTACTCAGAGCAGAAGTTTAGATTGAGAACTTTTTAACTGACAACAGCCACGATAAGCCAGGGTGTGGTGTGGTGTATGGTGTGGATAATTTTCTGTATACCTAACACTCCCCCCTACCCTGCCCATGCACACACTTTTTTTGTACGAGAAGTTCGTTTCTAAGAGAGTCTGAAAGGTAACTGTACAGCCAGGTCACAATTTGTCTTAAGTACCATTATATAATACACAAATTAGAGGCTAGCAATACAGATTTTTACAGAACATACTTCTAGTGAACTGCTGGATAACGTTTCTACACATGCCTTTGGAGGCCGTAACATTTAGGGAGCTGAAAAGGATCAAGATTCAGGCGGAATCTGTCCTTATTCTTATCCAAGAGCGCTCCTTAGGCCAAGGTTTGAATTTACATGGATTAAATGGATAATATAAAGGGAACCAAACAGTCAAGATGTTCTGAAGCCAAAACACCATTTCAACCCATCCATGCTGATTAGAATACTCAATGATGTTATAGTTTATTTACCATTCCTGGGTAGCTACAAATCAGTGCTGTCAAGAGTCAAGCACAAATCATTCAAATGTGTCTTAAGAAAATAACAGTGTTACAAAAAAGAAAATCAGTGATCTGAAATGGAAGCCAAGATAATTCCTTCAAAATTAGTGTTCTGTCTGCTGAAGACCTTGATCTTGTCACCATGGTTGCAGCTGAATTTCTGACTGCAGTTTACATAAAAGAAGATCTTGTGAGACAAGAGTAGGGAGCATTCACGGTAGCCAGCTAAACAGATTCACAAGATCTTCACTGCAGCTAGATTTAGAAGTTATTTCATTCTAACAGTATTTCATGATCAACTGTCCAAAACACTCTCTCAACCCTCATTAGTGACTTACCATGTTTAACTGCCTACTGGGAGTTAAAAAAAAAAAATTAAGAAAGAAGCTCCCTAAAAAATAAGCTAACGTCTTACTTCTAACTACACTGAATTCTTTTATCTGTTTTTTCCCTGCAGTTTGAAGCCTATGATAAAAATCAAATCGAAAAAAATGAAGCCACTCAAGATGCTCAAAGACCTACCCTTGCAATTCAGAAAAAAAATTACATAAAAAACTCCAAGGTACACTTAGAACACTCTTCCCACCTAAAACACATAAAGCCTTTAAGCATGTGGAAACAACTGGCTGATGCCAATACCTGCTCTGTGAATCGGTTTTATTTTGTACTTCTATCATGCTAGCACTGATTATGAGCATTAAGTTTTAGCCAAAAGAACGCAATCAGCTCTTTCAGACTACCTTCATCACAGTGTTTCTAATCAACAGAAATTTCCCTTTGCAATTAGTGGTCTTGAAAACAGAACAAAAGCCTAAGTGTATTTCAGGTGAAGGTTAATAATGCAGCTTAAAACCCATTAGGACTTATCACTACCCTACCTTGCAACTGCATAAATTTTGAAGTTTTGCTTATTCTTGGGAAACAAATACCAGAGAACAAAATACACTGATTATATAAAACGAGGCTTATGGTTATAGAAGTTGCTAGATATATTGAGTTTTCTATAGAGTATGAAGACATACTCCACGTACATGTTAGAGAAGTCAACAATACAGTGAAGTTCTCTTAATGGAGAGTGGTAGAGTAATTTTCCTTTTGCCTTCCAACAAAAAGCCAACAGGCACAAAGCTTCAATGCTTTTCTGTGACTTTAGTAAACCTTAGCATGCTAGACAGGGAAGAGTTACAGTGAGTAAATGCTCTACCTGTGTGTTCTTGGTCTCTGGTTCAAGGAAGCCGTCCTTCCTGGACTATGCTGACTGCCCAGTCTGGCAGGACTGGTCATGTAATCATTGGGGACTGTTGGTGGTTTGACCGGCTCCAGGGTTTTGTAAGGCGTATTTCGTCTGGTCAAGGAAAAAAAGATTTGAAGACAGAAAGATAAAGGATCAGAAGATCAAAAGGATAAATGAAGTAGTGAAGCCATTTGTTCTTTATGAACAAGTTTTTATGAGACATCACTGCACAGTGACCCAAATTACAGTATATTAAACAAATTCCACCAGGCGGGGTAGACAGGTCAGGTTCAACTCTCTAAAGTACTCTTATGTAGACAGATGCATACAAGTTGGCCTACAGCACATACCTGATTTTAAAAGCTTAAACTAAATTTACCACCCAAAATACATTCTTTGAACTACATAACATAAAAGAATTACACCTGCGTAATATTCCGGGGTTACCTTTCAGTACAATGCACACAACAAATTCTTGCACGTGACAAACTCTTCCACTCTAACAATTTCCTTTTTCCTCCTTTCTCCTCCCCTCCAAATGCTTAACCATCCTAAAAGCATTCTTGGCTAAAGGTATTCAACTCATTAAGAGAGGAGTAAGGCTAAAAGATTCACGGAAAAGTTACATTTGCAATCACCAGTGCTCTTCCTAGTAGCTTTGTTTCATGCAGTAATCAAGCAATCCCGTATCACTTAAACAGATCTTAAAGTGCTTCACAGATGAGCTTCATTGTCTCCATTTTGCAGACCAAGAAAGTGAAGACCAGAGACTTCCAAGGTCACCTAGCAGACTGCATCGTCAGAAATATAACACAGATCTTTCAAGATCTATTTACCAGACCCATTACTGCCTTAAGAACAGTGCATTTATTGTACTGGACTGCAGAGCTCTTCAGTTCTCACCAGTAACTAAGAGATCCCTTGCAAGACATGGAATTTGGCCATGCACCAGCTAAGCAAAAACAAAAATACTAAACTACTGGCATTTAATCATTTGCTCAATTACTGGTTATAACTGAGTTGGTATGTTATATAGCTTCCTGATATTTTAAGAAACTTATTGACTTCCTTTTTACAATACGGAATGCAACAGTACTAATTTTTAACTTAACATTTTATTATTAAAACCTCTCAAAGAGAAAAGTGGAAATACCATAATTGTTTGCATGCAACTGTGGTGTTTGTAAATTAGTTTGTCTATATAAAGAACTCCAGATGACTTTAATATGCAGACTGCCACCACCTATAGATCTGCCAAAACAGATCAGTCGTGGGAAAAATAAAGAAACTTTGTATTCCAGTTTTAAGAGATAGAGCTCTAAATACCACCAAATAAAATTATAAGCAGGGAAGATTTTAAGCGTGCTTCCAACAGAAATAGCCTTGAAAACTAATGTTTTAACATATTCCACCTTGGAATGCACTGGCAATAGGAACTACTACTCAGCTCTGTAGGACTATTTTTTTTTTGCCTGTACAATTTAAAAATATTGTCAAAAGCAAACCCCCACTACATCCTCAGGTTCAGCCATGCCTCAGTTTCTCCTTTGTTACTGTCAGCTTCATTGAGGAACTCAAACTCCTAAGCACCAGAGAAGTCAAAAACAATTTCTTTCCATCACTGAAATCCAAGCTTTCCCTTTGCTTTTCTGCCAGCCTTGCATGGAGGAGGAAAAAACTCTTTCCTGACACTGCCCAGCGCTCCCCACCTCACTGTCCTCCAGTGCTTCAGTGCGGTGCTGATGCCTGTTGCCACCAGGGAGAGCCACAGGGAGTCCAAGGCCTTCCTCTGCCCCAGGACCCTCAAGGCACGACTGCAGCTACTCCCTCCATCCAGCTCCAGCAATTCACTCTCTGGTGCTTCCAACCCGAGCATTCAGGGTCTTCCATAGTTTCTCCCTGGTCCGGTGAAGAGACCCTTGCTTCCTGCAGTCCCTTTACCTTTACAACCCAAGTGATTTCTGTGCAGGACTTCCTCCCCACCATATTCCTTTAGATAGTCCTGCCTTGGAGGGACAAGCTGCACAATAGGCAGCATGTACTTAACAGCCCATGTTACACACCAGGCGCTTCTGATTTTACACGCTTATCTCTGGCTTCTTGATCAAAGGGAGAAGAGTAGTATCCTTGTGGTTTCTAGCAATTTTTTCTGCATATATTAGGGAAACAGTCATGCCTATGATACTTCATGCTTTGGCAGAACACGGCTGCTCAAGACAAGAGCTGTACTTCCTGAACAAGAAAGGCAGATAGAAATCTCTGTTACGAACCCACATTATTCCTCCCCCTCAGCCAACTGCTGCCTCTCGTCAAGTTCATCTGGAAGTGATGTTCAGCTGATTAATCCTTATCAGGCATCAGCTAAGGCAACCAAACAGCTCTGGCTTGTTCAGGGGCGAGCATTAGAAAGAGGCAGCTCACCAGTACATCAGCACTGCTGTTTCGCTAGCAAATGTCCAAGAGGAGATGAAAGCGCTACCCAGCTTCCCAGGGCTGATAAACAACTCTTTCTCAGCTGGGATAAGAGCGACAATTGGAATACTGATTGCATGCCCTTGAGCAATGGGAATTTTCACAAAACATGCTGAGGAAACCTCTAGGGTAATTTCTCTGCAGAATACACAACAAACACTGCCATCGTGAAGCAGAAAAGCATCAAATCAGGATTAAAAAAAATCACTAAGTCTTTGACAAAAGGAGTTGCTGCTTCTAATTTTCCTTGACCGTTGCTCCTGATTCCCATCCTGTTCCATCTCATTATTCCTCATTTTTCCAGCTCCCCACCTCTCCCAGACAACATACCTGAAGCCAACACAACCATGCCAGCCATCTTTACAGTGCCTCAGTCCCCCACACGGCATGAAGGGAAGACTGAGAGTGGCAAATAGGTGGAAGTTCTTGTTTAGGATGCCTTTTGGAAGGTTGCACAGTTGGACAGACAAAACCAGATGGCACGTGCTCTGAGCTTCTCAGGTATTAATATTTTGGTCCCTAGCAACAATTACTTGCCGGCACAAGAAGATAAGCAGATTTCACTCCCCACAGGCCCACAGCAGCAAACCAGGTGCTATGACAGGGAACTCTGGTCACAGTGATCACACTGACTCAAGGAAGGATTTTACTATTCCCATTTAGGCATAAAAATAAAAATGCACACACCTGTGAGAATCAATGTTGCCAATGTGTTCACAATGCCACAAATTTTGCTTAGATAATGCAACAAATAGAGCACCAACAGCCATTTCATACATCTTACAATACTGAGACATGAGCAGACAAAAACTTTAACAGTGAAGTCTTTCCCACACTGAAGTTAAAACCTTAGTGACATTCTTTTTTGTCACTAAGGATTTCTCCCCAAAAATTAGGAGTAACAATAGCCTCCTCATTTACCCATATCTATAATAAATCTTTCCCCCATGAAAAAACATTCTTTCAAAAGGTCATCATGAAAATAAAGAGTCAGTGCAGCTGAAAGGGTTTATACAGAAAAGGTAATTGTGTTTTTTGCTAAAGGCAAACAGAATTGCCATCTATCCATGTTTTTAAGAAACACCAACACCTGCACAATTAAAACTTTCTATTACACAGGTAGGACCAAGCAGTCTTCATTCTTACCCCAGAGTTCCCCGGCCTGACATGGGAGGACTTGGTGGTTTTTGTGTAGGCGGATTTGTTCTTGACAAGGTGCCAGTTCTTGCAGGCTGATTATTTCCATGCTGAAATAAGGGAAAACATGATTTTATTTTTATAACAGAGCAGCTCTATTATTGACAGCTTTTTTTTTGGATGTGTAAGAACGTGAAGTGAGAATTCCCAGACAGCTGTCAAACAGCAAGTTTTCAGCTACACGCAAGACAAAGACCAGTAAATACAAAGAGTCTAAATACAAGCTTAGTGTTATTTTTGTCATTAATTTCCAACAGACATCAGAAAGGTAGGCAATTGTCAGGTTCATGCACAGATCTCTTATATGCTCTTTTCTTTAAAGGAAAGCCACGTTAGTGTTCATCTCTGTTCAGGTGTTAATAATTTAAATCAAACTTTAACACTGACAGTACAATACAGTCAGCACGGGCCCAGAATTTCTCAATTTGCCCCTGCTATTTGACTAGCAGAGTCATTCAGGTTGTCTGGGAAGTCTCCTGCAAAAAATGTAAGTGAAGGGAATCAAGGCATCTACTGAATTCAGAGCAAAGCACTACATGTGTTAGAGAAATTAATGTATCTATGTATAAATGCAGATGTCAATGTATCGCAGATATATTGACACACGCTAAACGCTGTAAATTAAAAAAAAATTAAGTATAGCATGTTTAATCTAAATATCCTATGGAAAGCAGAGGAGAGCATAAGAGAGCGCTAGTTTTCAGTTTTAATGGCTCTGCAGCCTCTACTATCAGTCACATGAGGCACTGTGGATCAAAGGAGAAATAACACTTCTTACCTTGGCTTTTAGCCACTTAACGTTGGCAAAAAAGGGGGGAAAAAGGTAGAAATTAATGGCAGATCCATCACAACTGATAGGACAGGTTAAACTACAGATAATCACATTTTTTAAAAATCATTTCTGTCTACTGATAATTAGCTCCATCCTGGTACGCTAACAGAGATTTTACTGTCTCAGTCATTGAAAGTTCTGCGTCTGACTAAGTGACCACAGGAAAAACACTTGTGTCAAAATTAAGTTTAGCTAAGCTTTGTCAGGTTTGTTTGCCAGGCTCCTCATGGGCAGTAAAGGGTTGAAAAGCCCTTTGCTGACCATTCAAGTCCAACTCCAAATCAATGCAGTTTCAATGGCAACAAGCACTTAAGAATTCATCCACAAAACAACAATTTCAGCTATACAGCAAAGAATAGACTTGCCTGTTGTTTTGACATTTAACCTTCATGTGTTTTGAAGAAATCCTAGCTGCTGCACTGAATGGTAAATAAAGAAAAGGGAGTTCTCAAACAGGATGAGCAGCAGCTCCTTTCACCTCTGGTTTATTGATTGAAATCTGATTCAAGCCAGCACAGCACTGGCTGCTCAAAACTGTGTTGGCAGTGCTCTAATGATTGTTATTCTGAAATTTTAGCTCTTAGAATCAAGTCATTACATGACTCCACTATATCATTTTTACAGCCTTTGTGATTGCAGAGGGGAAAAAAAAATTATGAAAACTTGGCCTCATAATGAAAGCAAATGTAAAATACTAAATAAATTCAAGTTGAGTTCTCTGATTTTATTCAGGGGAGAGGACTCATGTTTTTGAATGGGGAAAAGGAGTCATTTAACCAATTTTAAAAAACCAAGCAAACACAAACCCCCAAAACATAAAATAACCCCAATGCTTTTTTTGAGGTTGTTTCTATATAAACTGTCACTTCCACAGCTTTTCAAACTGCTGTTTGCACCTTCTCCTCCTCCAAGAAACATAGATGAGTTTAAAGGCATCCATGAACTCAGGAAAAATAATTAAAACATGCTATACAGTAATGTGCGTATGTGACATTTCTGACAGGGTCTGAAAAAACACTGAAAACCAGCTGGCGTTCATAAATCAGAAGAGGTTGAAAGCTGCTGTCCTTAAGTTATTCATATTACAAGAACAGAAACACAAAACCCGCTCCAAAATTCAAATGAAAAAGTTTAACTGTTTTAAGTAAATTTGAAGGTCATCCGATTCACACCCAGTCTGGGCAGAGGTTCATCAGCAGAGTGGCAGAATTAAGGCATTTAAACCATTTCTGTCCTCACATACTTCTTTCATGGATAGACACAAAGGCTCAGTTTCTAGGATGCCAGGGTAGTCTCTCAAGTATTATATTTTTAAAACAGGCTTTTAGCAATGAAATTGCTTTCTCCTCTCACAGGAATATGTGGCCCTTCCCCTTACTTCACCAGTTGCCAAGGGCAATGGCATAATACGAGGAATTTGTTAAAAGAGACCAAAAAGTGAAACTCTTGGTCCTGTCCCTCTAGCCTCAGATAGAAACCTTTTAAAGGCTTAAAAGGAAGGGTTGCACAGTTTCTTACCCAGCCTCTACTACTAAATTTGCTTGCCTCAAAAATATAAAACCAAAAAGCTTCCTCTCACTCCTTCCCTTTATGCGGTGTCACTCAGCACTTATGATGAGTCTTTCCACCTCCTCCTTAATCACTGTTACATTCTGCCTCTGCTGCAGCGACAATGTGAGTATCAACATCTAGCAATGATTCAGGAATCTTCATCTTATTTCCAACCTTTCTACTGCTAAGTACTGTTTAACATATTAAACATATATCTGAAGTCCAGCAGCTCTTGAGCTTTATTCCTACCTCCACCACTACATCAGGTGATCTTCATCTCTTTTGCTACCAGTTAAACAAAATACAGATACACACACTTCTTTATCATGCAGAAGAATTAGTAACAGTTGTCATACTGCTTTCTATAAGTAAAAAGCTCTGTACATGTCCTCTCTGTTGCTCTCAATATAAACAAGAGTCATACAGGCAGGAAAACGCAGAAGGAAGGAATACAGAGGGAAGAGGGATTCTTATGGGAGAGGAACTCCTGATCCAAAAGACAGAATTAAGGGAGGAAAGCAAATGAATCGAAGCAAGATGAACCATATGGCTATTTAATCATGGTTAATAAGCTAATTAATTAGGAGACATTTTCTTGTATTTATTGGCTGAGCTTATGAGGTCAACCTTGCTGCATTTCTTGGTCTGAAAATCAAATGCAGTGCTTTCTAAGCATTCAAAAAAATTGCTTGGAACTGGGAACAGTTTAGGCAGCAGGGTCTAGACTCATTAAAAAAGACAGGAAAAAAAGACAGCAGAAAACCAAAAGGAAAAGCAGCACATGTTTAATGTAGGTTCAAGCATCTCTCTACAAGTGCCTCTAGGCCAGTCAGCCAGTTGGCAGAACATGACCATCACGAACTGCCGGATCAGTACCAAGTTCAGAATCAGGAAGGAAGGAAATGGAGGGCATGAGGAAGAGAAACACCAGCATGTATAAGATTCACAGCTTGAAGAGGGAAGAGACTGTTCTGAGAAGGATCTATAAAATAAGAGATAGGAGGTGCAAAAGGAAAAAAGCTTAGTCAAATGAAGAGCAGCACTGAGAACTGCCGCAGAATGTATAAGGAGCATGACTCCCTTCTTCTGCTAGTTGTATTGCTGTACATACAGTCTTCAGCCAGATACCAGCATCCTGGATGATGTACACATCAGAACAAAAACACAGTGTGCAGACTTGCTGGGGATGCTTGTGATGCTGAGGCAGAGAACCAGACAGATCAGGATGTTCCCAGAAACAAGATAGCATGGTAAGCAGCAGTATTGGTTGGGGTTTCTTGCAAGCATCATAGCAGAGAGATGTTTTAAAGAAGCAAGCAGAACAATTTTGCCTTTCCAGGAAAAACCAAGCATGTGGCAGTCCTGGATAAAGTTTTAAGGGATGTCACAAAATTAAGAGAAAGAAACCACTGTCTCAGGTTCAAGAAATAGGAGTCAACCTCACTGCATTTCCAAAAGATCACAGCTAGGGCAGTGGCACATCCGCAGGGTTTTGACAGGTTGGCCAAATACTGAGAGCCGGCAGTGGGCTGGAAAGGAGTAATGCAATTACAGCAATGGGCAAAACAGGTGTTTGCAACAGCCATGCAAGGCATTTATCAAAGCCAAAAGTGAGGCTGCTTCTGTAACTGATGCCAGGAATTCAGAGCACCTGGGCTGAGAATTTTAGCTGAGGTTTGGACAGGACAAGCAATGTTTTGGGACAGTTGAGTAAGTGCCAAGTAAGAGGCTTACTTGCTTAAGGCAACTATTTTAGCAATTCCAGCATGCTCTGTTCTGGTAGTCTAAGCAGTACAAAAAACATCTGCCAACAAAGGCAGTACTGCAGGTTTCTGTAACTGAGGTCAAAGGGACAAGACCGAGAATGGCATGAAAGGGTAGGGTGTGAGGCCATCAGAAATATCTGCTGACAGCCAAAGGATGTCCAGACATCTGAGGGACTCTGCTGGCTGGCCTCAGGAGGCAGCCATCTAACTAACTGGTTTTAATAGTTTCCATGCCAAGTAACAAGTCATGGGGGAACATTAGTCATGATTCAGGGAACCAGAAAGCTATTATTTGAGTTACAAACTGTGCTTGGAAAACTAGGGCTAGGGACGTTGCACACAACTCATTTATGTGAGCAAATGCATCTAAAGGTCACTTGGGCACAGGCGCAAAATCCTTATCACACTGAAGTCGAGCAAGTTTCTCCTCCACATTTCAGCTATGAACTCTCCAACTTCAGACTGCAGAAACTTCAAATCTCTATGCAGGTTAGTTGTACTTCCCCCGCGGTATGTTGCTCACTATTTCTCCAACTCCTGAATTTGAAGAGCCAATGTCACTCTACATCCTGCCATACCAAGGATCACTGAATGCAGTCATTAAGGACCATCCAATATAAATGCTGATCAATGGAAACACAGGTTTAAAAACTGCACCAGTCTAATCTGCATTAATAGTAAGTGTCTGACAAACTCAGAACTTTAATATGTATGCTCTGTAAAAGCAATAACCATTCTTAGATCTGTTACCTTTGACGAGTAACCACATTCATCAACCACAACAGAAAAAAGAAACCCACAATTACACTTGACTCTTTAGTCAACCTCCTCTTTTACTTAAAAAGGTATTTCCTTTATAAGTCAAGGAAGAATTATCTGAGATATCCCTACAGAAAGGCAG